GCAGAAGAGCACGGTCATGGTGAATAATATCAATGTAATCAAGAAACCTTGCAGACACTGTATTCTACCAAAAGGTCCAAGGAATCTTTTAAGGACATTGTATTGTAGCATTTAAATCTCATCCTCACCAGTCCCGTGCTGTCTGCAAATGAAGGAGTGATGAGCTCCAGTGTCCCCTGGCAGCCCGGGTGTGCTGAAGGGCAGCTCCTGCTCAGCAGCTGAGAGCTTCTGCTGCCCTCTGCCTGGTGCCCCGGAGCTGCTGAGATTACCCACATCTTGTGCTGTGGAATTCCCACTTGATCCATGCTGAATTAGCCAGCATGCTTCCTGACAGGTCTTGGTGTTCTGCTTAAGGACAGAAAGCTTCCCTTGGCTGCAGCACCAGACCCAGCACGCAGGGCAGGACTAGATCCACAAACAGGGGACATCCTAAACAGGGGAGATCCTAAACTGGGGAGATCCCCAAATAGGGGAGATCTTAAACGGGAGATCCCTAAACAGGGGAGATCCTAAAAAGGGAGCTCCCACAGAGCTGTGCCCAGTTCTGCCAGGACAGGTCAATGCCACAATGGTGTCAGAGAGTGGCAAGCCTGGAACCCCATGTACCTCTGCCTGCAGGTCCCATAATGGCCTGCATTTCTCTAGGATTGTGATTGCTGTCCGTGGCTACTGAAACTACTGATACCCTCAATATTAGGGGTGGTGGTGACATTTGTCCCTTCTCAAAAGTACCCACAAGCAGGCTAAAGGAAGCTGCCTGTCTTACCTGACAAACCAGAGTCACCCACAGGCTGGAGTGGCAACTACAAGCTGTGGGTGACTGGTTTGTCAGCCAAGACAATTTACAAGGCAGAGCCGATGCTCATGTGACTGCACCACTGAAATAAGCACGTTTATAGAGCTAAAAAAAATAACTTCAAAAAGAATATGATATAAAACACTCCAACTGTTTTTTTCATTTTCTCTATAATGCTCCTTAAAATGCAGCTTTGTAGAATACCATCACATCATCACCTGACCACAGAATATATTTGTATTATTAGCTCATCTCTAGTTTCATCTGCTATACCTCATAAACTGTTTGGAGAAAGGGCTGCAATTTTGTTATTGTTATTCCTTTAACATTACAATTTCACACTGCAGGACAGAAAATAAATACTTCCTGGAGTGTTTGGCTAAAAATACCACAGGCTGTGATTTCTTTGCAGATATTAGGAGGAGTTCCTAAGCTTAAGATATCCCAAACTCAGCTGAAATATTACTTGAAATTAATACAGTTCATTGGCATTTTTTAGTCCAATTATTTCAATGTATTAATACAGTTTAAAATAATCTGTCTCAGGAATTCCTAATGAAAACTTCCTAATTTTTCCACTAAATCTTTTATTCAAGAATATCCAAGGAAAATATTTTAGTTCAAGACAGCAAACGTGAGTTTGATTTCTATAGCTTTTAGAGGTGTTTCGAGTCACTGCAAAACTAAAATGTATCCTTCTGCTGCAGCTTACTGCTCTGTGGAAACCATAATGATCAAAAAAAAAATCCCAGAAAAATTTCCCAGAGAAAATTGCAACTCCAGGAAGAAAGGAAGGAGGGAATAATGAGAGATGTTGGAATAGGGTCGCTCTCACCTCTTCAGCTACTTGATATTAAAACTACTAAGGAGAAGTATCCATGTTACGGCACTTTCACACTTTCACAAAGGTAATAAATCCAGATAAAACTGTCCTGTGTCTAAGTTTCTTTGAATCTAGAGAAGATTGGGGGTACCTCTTTCTTACCTTACTGCAGACATCAGTTTGGATCTGGTGGCATGAAGAAATTAGGCCTTTCCCAGGTATGGTGCTTTTACTATCAAGGTCCTAGATTAAATATTGAATAGTAGTAGATGCAGGACAGAATCCCTTTCAGTGTATCTTTCCAGCTTGACATGGTACTATCCATATGCATTTCCTGACTTTTCCATGAAGTTTTATCAAGCACATTTCCACAGAGTTTGTGAGACAGTGTCAAAGCCACCTTAAAGAGCAGTAAACTCCATTAACAGCTTCTCTCCTGAAAACAGACCTCTAGCAATGTCATCAAACAGAACTAAGTAACTTTGACATTATTTGGTGAATACTGACTCTGCTTTCCTTCCAGTGCTTACAATTTGATTATTTCTAGGATATTCTGAGAAGTGCAATCAGGCTGACTGATTTATAGCACTGCAACTTCTCTTACCTTCTGAAGACAAGGAAATGTTTGACCTTTTCCCATCCTCTACAGTTTTTCATAGATAATTGCTAATAGCTCTGAGGTTGATACTGTTCCCCTAAGTGCCCTGGGATGAATCAGCTCAGCCAATTTGAAAACATCATGTTTATCTAGATATTTTCTAACTTCTCCTTCCTAGCCTAGACAGAAATCTTCCCTGAACAATGGTGTTGAATACATTGGACATTTTCATTGACAATAAAAGCCAAAAAAGCCATTAAGTTTCCCATCTGCCAGAGAGCCTTCCTGATATACTGCAGTTTTGAGAAACCATTTATTTCCTTTTTCCTCATTATACTACTAGAAACACAAAAATTTTTCTTTACTACTTGTATTTGCTTTGTGTATAAACTTTCAGTGAAAAGGGCATCAGATGAGCATCATAGATTCACAAGGCTCTGAGCCTCTCCAAGAGCTACACGAACCCAAAATCTTCAGCTTTGCCCCTTTACATTTTCTGCATTTTCCTTTATAGCCAGATCCTCCCCGTATGCTTGAGCAGGTGCAAGCACCACAACAAAAATGGAGCCTGAGGAAGACATGAGAAGTAACATAGAAGCAATGAAGAATATAAGAGAGAGGAATGAAGGATGTGTGTGTGAGGAGGTGTCTCTAATACCCCTTAAAGCTCAGCAGCCTGTCTGGAGGTGACATCACACAGCCAAAGCTGAAAGAGTTGGCACATTCTTCACGAGTGGGAGCTGGGCTTCTCTTAAATCTACTCTCAGCTTTGTTGGCCTTCTGTGGCAGCACCAGTCAGGCTTTAAAAAGGCTTTCAAAAGCTCAAAAAGACAAGGCTTTATTAGAAGATGAGCTAAAGTGACTCACTTTTTTAAAAGATCAGGAAGGAACAGAAATGCAGTGGCTCTGAAAAGCCCAGCTCTCCCATCCTGCTGCTGCCATGGCTCACGGGCTGGGCTCTCATCCCCTGGACATTCCTGCACGATGGAATAGAAGCCAGCACGAGCAGTTCCTGTCACAGACAGGCACCAATAACCCGTCCCCCTGTGAGGTGCAGTTTCCCTCTGAAGTGCCCTGCATGTCTCCTCTCACACACCTGCACGAGTGGTGTTTATGTCCCTTGGTTTGGGTTGTGCCATTCCCATGGCTTCAGGCAACTCAACCTTCTCCAGCTACATACAGGCTGTCCTGATTCCTTCCCAGGTTCGTTTATGAGCTTCCCTTTTGGAAGGATGTCTGGGGAAGCACGTGGCCATCAGGACTGACAGCATCACAAAGCAGAGATGCTAATGCTTGTAATGCTGCTGATATTTCCAACTTCATTTCTAAGCAGCAATGACAGCTCCAACATCCCCAAATCACAGTGGTTTCAGCTTTGCCTTATCTCCCCATGCACACATGTAAATCCACACAGACTTTGACATCAGTTTCTACCAGGGCACAGTTTTCTGTCACATAAAATGTCAGGATGTGATCTTCCATATTTCACTACTGCTATCCTGCCATTTAATTTAATAACAGCTAAATATCAAGTGGTTACTATTTTGATGCTGTGTTCCATCAGCCATTGAACTAGAAATAATGAGACAAATCTAAATTTGTGATTCATGGTGAACTGCTGGAACTAATCTCAATCACACAGCAGATGACATGGAGTGATAACTGATTTAACAGATGATCATCTGTTCAACTGTCCTGTCCTCTCTCACAGAAACACGAACATTAATGAAGGACAAGTTCACTTACACTTTACAAGACTTTTTCAGACAATATAAATACTTAAAATAGGAACAATTTTTTTCCTTTCCACTAATTATAGACTCTTTAATTGCTTTTGATTGGTATTTGTGTATATGGCAAGCCTTTGTGGCTTCAGGAAGCTGAGCTGCTGAGGTGTTTAAAAAGTATCTGTGGCATTTTCCGTGAAGATTTTTCAATTTACCATCATCTCTAACCAAAGCAGGTTCCTCATCCAAACTGCTCCTTGGGAAGTCCTTGCACTTGGTGTAGCAGCCTCCAGTGCTGATCCTAGCAGGAGTCAGGCACGGGACTAAACAGTTGCCTTGTTAGAAAAGACATTCCAAAAATTGACTTGTCAGACTTTTCAAATGCCAGAAGTATGTGCCCCAAAAGAAATCTTCTCCCTGTATCTTCACTCTTCACCAAGTTTCAGCCTGCACCTTTTCACCACTGGCATCAGTTATTCTCTGCCAGGTTTAAAATTTTCATATATTCTGCTGCATCAAATCTAGAAATTCTCAGTGAGCTGTAAGTCATCTATAAATAAAACCAGTTGTTAATTTTTCCTTCATATATTTTATTAGTGACCATCAAAATGAGTTGACTGAAACGTTGCTATTGATGCTAGTGACATCAAGAGGCAGAATTTTCCAGTATGTTTTCCCAATTTTCTTTTGGACACAGGATAATGAATGAATTCATTATCAGAGATAAGAATGAATTTTGAAGTCTGGAAGTCAATTCTGTCATTTTTGTCAGCAGTGTCACAGATATATATCTGCCAGGCCAGACAGCAACTGCAAGACATCTTTATGGCTGAGAATGATGAGTCTTACAGATAAAATAATTTTTACCACAAAAGAAATCGCCTTCATGAGCAGGTAACAGGGTCTAAATGAAATTACCTGCTGTAGACAAAAGGTGGCTTTTGAACTAGAAATTCAAATCCAATACAAAAAGCATTATATGGTCTTGAGAGATACATTCAGAAAAATAAGAAGGATGCTTCACGGATGGTCTGTGACACACAGCACATGTCCAGCCTAGCGTGGAATGGCACAAAGCCTGTAGGGGTGGGGCTGCAGAGTGCCCCCCATCACGGGCTCAGTGTTGATCTTGGTCA